GGCCGTATAAAGACAAAAGCTCTATGTCCAAACAGGCCGATATTTATACTTGAACGAGCCTTAAAAATGCATTTATCAGGTATTTAAATGGTTGCGATTGATTTTCACTCAGGCGATTAGCTCCAAAGTGAGCAAAAAGCTCAGCACCTGTGTGGCGTTTACTGGAACAATGTGAACGTATCCATGGAGAGCGCTGTCGTGACGTAAGCAACAGGTTGAACGGAGCCCCTCGCGGACGCCCAGTGCCCGCACTTCTGTTGTTTCCCTGTCCGGAGCTCGCGCGGCAGCATCATCATCAGCGGCACACGCGGAGCCGACTGCGTGCATGTGTGTGAGGCTGCGCTGCTGCACGAGACCACTGCAGCATTCGGCTGGTGCCTCAGAACCCATTTTAAAAACTAAAGGCTCAAAACGAGACGGAGAAAACGGACAGCGGCGGGAAAACTGACGTCCTTCAGGTAGGAAAACCTTAATTTATTTGGGTTTTTTTTTTTACACCGTCATTGGGATTTTACTGCGTTCTGTCATGTCTGTCAGTACTGGTCACACACAGTGAATAACGGTTTTTATGTCACGAGCCGCGTCCGTGTAACAGCGACTTTATGTTCTGGCCAGCTGAACGATGCCGCGGTGATTGAGTACCGCACTAAATAGGCTGCGTGGTTCTTCTGTCTGCATAATCCTTACATTGAAAGAGCGAAGAAGACCAGTCATAATATTTATAATTTAAGGTATCTATGACTGTGTACATCTAAGCTATGTTTTAATGGGTTTTAATTTCCCACCATGGACTGGGTGTTTCTTGTTCAGTAAGTTCTAGTTTTATTAATTAGAGTAAAACTGGGAACAATGTGGGCAAGAGTAGACCTTCATTTGACTTTAAGTTGTACAGATTATGCAGCACACTTTGTATTTCACGAGTTACAGTCACAAAAATGCATTTCTTTAGTGTGTTTTAGTCAATTTATTCACACATGTCCAGCAGAGACTGCAGGCGAGTCTGAACAGTGCTGTCACATGTTAGTGGTTACCGTCAGTGTTGATCTTCAGCTGCTTTTCTTCAGTTTGATGGTTGATTTAGTGGCACATGTCGTGATTGATGGCTGTCAGGCTCTCTCATTGCTATCCCATAGTTCAATACAACTCAGTGCAGTGGCAGGTTCCATTTGTTCTTTGAGGACTAATATTTAAAGTTGAAATTAAAGCCTAACAGGTAGAAAAGAAGCTGACTGGTCAAAATAAGTTGTAAAAATCTTTTTTTTAGGACATGCTTTATGCATCGATGATTTGCTATTAGAACACTCTCTGGTTAAAGATTTTCACTTATGACTGCAAATCTTTTAACTGTGACTGCAGATGTGTCATGAGGACATTTTGAAATGTCACAGGATGATTGAAGATTTGTTTCGTCCTGTACCAGCAGCCTGCACTACAAAGCACCTTCAGCATACCCAGGATGTGTTTCAGATATCTCACTCTGACATCAGCAGTCAGGCTAAACAGTCACACGAAGGTAGGTATCAACTCAGGGTTTATCAATCTAGCTGCGAGCGTGTTCACATCAAAGCGGCGGCGTTGGCAGCATCTGACCAATTACAAACATCAGTGAGTACACAGGAAGCGATGCGGCTGATTCATAAAGGTAAACTGGAATATTAGACACATATGAAGAGGTTAAACTCACAATACAGATGAAAGCAACACAGCTGCTGCAGAATAAGCAACAGTGTGAGAGAGGAAATGTTTATTATCAGAGCTGCATGAGTGTGTGTGCTTTCAGGGCTTTGGCCAGTATGACTGGAAAGGACTTACCATATTAATAAAGTCTAGCCAATTTGAAGCCGGTAAGGAAATGCAGCAGAACTGCTGATTGTGTAAATTGATACTCATCAGTGTTACGGCTCTGTCATTAACACACAA